CGCCGGAGGAAGCTGGCTGGGGAGCAGGTTTGTCTTTGAGCGATTTCAGAACAAAATGTTTTAGGAACACCCTGGAAACGCCTTTGCAGTGATTCAGACCCGGCTAGGGAAGCAAAACTCTGCCCCAGTGGGAGCTGGGGGGGCAGTCATTGGCATTGTACATAGCCCAGTTAGCATCCCTGGATCCCGCACTCCCAATAGTTCCTCCCAAATAACATTTAATGAATTCCATTTATTAATAATTAGATCTGAGCCATCCCACCGGAGGCGATGCGCGCATGCTGTGCTGGGGAGGCACGTTTTCAGGACAAAGCCTGGGGGAGAAGAAACGACCTGGGAGAGGTTGGGGTCCAGTTCAGGCTCTTGCCCCGTGTTTCCAGCGCACTGCACAGCACCCACAAGGCCCAAGGGCCGCTTTTGCCCGCAGTGAGGACCAGGACTCTCTGCAGCGACCCAGCACCCTGCTGCAAAATCAGGCAAAATCAGCTTCTCCTGGGCTAAAAGCGTGGGCTGGGGTAGACCCTGGCACGCTCTGACCCAGCCTGGGGGCTGCTCAACCCAGCCCCGCAGCGAGGACCAGGCTTTTCCAGGCACTGCTGAGGGCTTAGAGACCTTTGGGGCAAGCAGAGGGCTGCCCGGTGGGGTCAGGGTCGTTTCTCCCAAGGAAATCTCGCTTCTTCCAGCGGAAAGCCAGAGGATGCCAGGCACTGCGAGGTGGCCCCGTGCGGCTCCCGCTGCCGTACCAGCGGCCCCGGAGCCAGGCACATCCCCGCCTCCTGCGCCGGGTGGGGGAGATGGGCACGCTTGTGACAACAGCAACAAATCCTTCCAGTCACAACATCGTCGGGAGCGCTCGCAATCACGGGCTGAGGCTTCGGTGTGTGCTAAATATAGAGCCCTGGTCCTCGCGCACTTAAGGAAACAAGTGATCTGATGAGCATCTTTCTGCTGAAACATGAGACCGTTTATTAAGCTAAATGGACGTGAAATGCAAATATGAGGTTACTTTTCAGCTATTTCCAAATAATAATTAAAGCCTTTTGGGGCTGCTCATTAGGCACGTTTGCCATGTGCCTCCCCATCCGCTCCCCGGTGTGGCTGAGGGATCCCGGCGGGGGGATGCCTGGTGCACGGGGTGGATGGTGAGCACTGAGCCCTGCAAAAGTACCCTGCTTTGGCTGCAGACCTGTGCCCAACGGCCCAGCCATGGCTGAGGCTGGTGAGGCCC